ATCCCAAAATCATCACCTTTTCAAACTCTACGAAAGTCAAGCTGAACATAAAAAACGGCCGACACCAGTCCATCCCCAAAATGACATAAAAGGTCTGAATTGGTATGATAATCAAATTTATTAGCAATTTCTTACCATGAACATGAACATGCACTACACATTTTCTATTGGCATAAAACCCATTCCCGAGGGCATAATAACACATAGAACATGAGAAAAATGCATAATATCAACATGTAAACTGATAGCAAACTCATCGGAAGTAAAGATATGTGATGCAACTGAATCTAGTAGAAGAGTACTAAGTTAATGTTAAATTAAGAGCGTACTTGTAACAACTTTTTTAGATTTTTTGACTTCTTATGGAGTAATTGGAAAAACTCTGTCTTTTATTAGTTGTTCAATTATGTGCTATGAAGTTTCACCCTTTCCATTGAAGGTTTTCCCAAAAATTAAGTTATGTTGGGCTAATTACCTTCCAAAAATTTTCTGGGGTGCCTATGTTCCTAAATTGTCTGTGATCTGTTGTCCAAAAATGCTGGGATATTTTTCAATTCATGTATATATTTATTCAACACTTATAATTTGGTAAAAACACCAGTTCACTACTTTACAAATACTTCTTAACTTTTACTGCACTAATAAAAGACGATTGTGCATTTGATCACATAAGATATAGAATGACTTTTCACTTGACAATTTTAATTTCATCTGCCTTTTCCAACATTCAATTGTAGCAAAATGATTTACCAACTAATCCATCCCAAAATGACATCAAAGTTATGAATTGGTATGATAATCAACTCTTTTGACAATTTCTTATCATGAACATGAACATGCATTACATATTTTTTGTTAGCATGAAGTCCACTTCCCAATGACATAATAACACAGAGCATGAGAAAAATATATAATATCACATAAACAGATAGCAAACTCATCAAAAATTAAGAAATTCGATGCACCTAAATCCAATAGAACAGTGCTACGCTGGACTTGAATTAGGAGCATACCTGAAACCACTTTTTCAAATTCTTTGGGTTATTATGGGGTAATTGCAAAAACCCAAACTTTTACAGGTTGTTCAATTCTGTGCACTGAAGTTTCACCCTTTTCTTGCACTGAAGGCTTTCCCAAAAATTGAGTTCTGCTGGGCTGGTTGCCTTCCAAAAACTTTCTAGGCCGTTTCGGTCCTTGAATTGTCTGTGATCTGTTGTCTCTCTTCTTTTCTTGTGGACAATTCATTTGAATATACCCTGCTTATCCACATTTGTAACATTTTCCAGAATCAATCAAACACTACCCAAAGTATTTTTTTCCAGACATTCACAAATTGGCTTCTCTATCTGAGGATGCTTTTGCTTATCTTTTCATTTCATTTTTTGCTTAGGAAGTGTTTTCTTTTGCTAAAATTTTTTCACTTGCTTGCCTGATGTTGCCATTGTTGCTGGAAAAATTTAGCGCATTTTCAATTCTTGCTCTTTCAACAAGCATGGAGAAATCACTAATTTCAAATGGAGCTAAAGCCAATCTTAACTGTTCTCTAAGGCTGCATAAAAATCTGACACTATTTCTTCTGGGCGCTGACATAGTGAGGTGCATATCTGGAAAGATAAGTGAATTCTGCCTCATATTGCATAATTGTCTTGGACCACTGAGTTAGATTGAAGAACTTATCTTTTAGTATAAATCTGGCTAAAGGCGAAATGAATCAATCTTTGAAGAGTTTAATAAATTCTTCTTACTGAATCTGTGGAAAAGGTGTCAGATGAAATTTTTCTCTATGTTGCGCTTGCCACTATCTTTCTGCCTCGCCTTCTAGCATTTAAGTTGTTAGTACCACTTTTCTGTTTCTCGAACAAATCATACCATCCAAAATTTTTCCAACCTTCAATAACCAATCTCTAACAATTGTAAGTTCATTAACACCCTTGAATGCAAGTGGTTTGAAATATTGAAATATACTTCTGCCCTAATTTCAGTTCTGGGCCCTGTACTAGCGGAATATCTCTCAATAACAGTCATTTTGTCAACCACTTGTGGTATCAACTACACAATGCCTTATAACTCAGTTGTCCTAGTGTCTGTATTTGTATTATTCTGATTTTTATTTCTGTTCAAAATAGGTTTAACTCTAACTTTGTGCTATGCAATTGGCTAAAAAGATTGAATCTCAGTACTTTCTGATTCATCTCCATACATGTTCATCTGTATTGACACAATTTATTATTCACATGTAATTTATTATACAATAATTTTATCGTGCACACGTGACACCTTTAAGTCGTAAGGGTTACCCATCCTAGATTCCTCAACCTATAGCTTTGTATAAACCAATTCATATTTGATCTCATTCTTACTTCTTTTAAATGCAACACGCTTCCATCATTCATTTCATCCAATAACCATGCTTCGATACCACTTTTTTAACACACCCCAACTGGCTCCCCTTTAAGACTCGATTGAGTTGCAATAGCGGCTGACAATTTAGTCAGAAAAACTTTAACCAACACTCTTCCTGATGTATATAATCAGGGCATAGTGGATGATGAATTAGTCTAATTGGATCGTCGTAATATATGTGATAATCAGGGCCTATTGGGTGATGAATTAGCCTAATTGGATTGTCGTAACATATGTGATAATCAGGGCCTATTGGGTGATGAATTAATCTAATTAGATCACCATAACATAAGTGATATATTGCATGTCATATTTCATTAATATATATACTCAGAAGCATGAAAATCATATCAACCAAAATATGAAAACTATATAGAATTGTTAAATCCAATATAATAAAAGTACGTACTCAAAACATATGTACAAGCTCTCAAAACAATCGTGCAAAAGCTATATAAATACACACCTGACTACTCGCTCAGGTGCTCGTTGCCTCTACCTTGGAGCAACAATGAAAAATGAGTAACAATAAGCTCAGAGAAATAATCAGGGCTAACATAAGATTTTATACACGGAAAAGAAAAAAACGTGCATTCTCGTAATAAGCTATACATGTCTACACACACAAGTAATAACATGCTAATATGTTATAAAACATGAAAAGAGAGCATAAAGTATAAAAATCAAGACTACAATCTAATATGTAGGTCATAAGCATTAAATCGTAAATATAATAAAAACATGTTCATAAACATGCTCATAGGAAGTTTATTCATAACAACGTCATTTCAAAGAGGTCCTTTTATAGTCATGTCAACTATTTCTATGTTCTTTTCTCATGGGTCGTCATCCTGCCCCAAAGGTCATATAAACTATCGATAAAGATTGAGCTTCCCCCAACATAATTTATCGATATATACTACCCATGATTCCCTAACATTCTGTCACCGTCTGATCCTAACGACTCCCAAAATTTCGTCCAAGTATAAATATCATATGATATTCCTGCATAATGTATATGCAAAAATTTATATAATAGTCTACCCATAACATTCATTGTGAAATTTACATCATCATTCTAATATCAAACAATTATAAGACATTACATGTATCATAAACATGAAACATAACATCACAGACATAAACAATAACAAGTGAACATTTGCAAGCAATTAACATTATAAGCATAGTCATATATATCATAGCATGATCATAACAATACATGTATCGCAAGAGAAGTAAACATAAATTCATACTTTTAATTGCATATAATCATTTACAATAAACAGGAAATTTTAAATGCATCTGTGTCAAACTAAAAATATTATGAAAACATATAGAAGATTATTTTTTTTAAATTATCACAAAATTATTTTACCTGACTTGACAGATTAGCCCTACGACAAGTGAAAACACACTTGTCTTGAGCTCTCCGCTTCGTATAGACAACCTAGAGATCATAAGTAGCATCATAGAAATTCATAAAATTTAGGCTCCCAACATGATTATGTCAAAAACAAGTATTGAATGTCAAAACACACCTTAAAAAAGCTTTTCAGCACAAATTCACCTTTCCAAAATTATCTATTTCTCTCTCCAAATCTTCCTAATATCTTAATCTTCAGTTTCCCCACGCGGATTTTGTGCTAGAACTCATATGGAAACTTGCAAACTACTTTCAAAGCTTCCGATTCGATGTCTCTGACGGCTATCGGAAATGAGAAATGCATGAAAAACGAAACAAACTTCAAAATGAAAGTGGAAGAAATAAAAGTCTGAATTGATATGAGAGAGGAATTTGTGCTTACAGAAATTGAACAAAAACCCTAGATCTTGCTCTGCGGCACTCTGTAGACCGCTCATTTCCGCCTGCTACAGTGCAGGGTAACGAGTTTCTTCTCGTGAGAATTCCAGACAGCGAGATCGAACAGGGGGAGGGGGATCATGAGAGAGGGGAAATTCGGGTGAGGGAGAGGAAATCGAAGCTCAGGTCTCCTAATTCGACCGAACAAAGGCGTGAGAGGGTGGGGAACAGTGCATGTACCGGAGACTAAGGGATGACTTAGAATAATGAGCAATTAAGTTAATAAAATTTAAAACTTCCCAATTTTATATCTCTCAATCCGTTAACAATTCTTAAATGATTTTTTATATCTAATTGATCAATTCAACGTGCAAAATTTTATAAAAGTATTTCGATTGAATTCCAAGAGATATAAAATTTAAAATATTTTTTAAATGTGCCGTACTTTATGAGGTTCCTTGAAATTTGGGTGCCACCCTCCAATAGCAGATAGGGAAAAATATAAGAAATAATTGGTTTTATATGAGATAACTACCTTTAGAACTAGAACATTTCAATAATTTTCAAATTTGCCAAAATTATAGAGCTAAGACAAATGTAAACCCTTTAAAATGACAACTTTATGAGAACTTCTTCCAACAATAAAAAAAAAGAGTAAATGGAACTTTGCTCTGTATGATAGTGCAAGAGATAACTACATTCAAAACTAGAGCTTTCACATATCATAGGAAAGCATGAAATATTACTTAAAAGTAAAATAACTATTTTACAATATTAAAATTAAGCAACTCACTGGTGTAAGTTCTCCCATCGTTCCAGTAGTCCAAACCTGAAAATAAAATTAAATAATTAAAAGAATTTTTTATGCTACAAAAAAACCAAAACTTTTGAATTCTATGGAAGAAACAGAAGTAACCATAAGAAAAATCTAGTTCACACTATTTTCTTCATGACCCTAAAATAGGATAGCAAGAATTGAATGCTCAATGGAAATTTTTGTAAGATCGGGTAATGTACCACAAGTGCAGTACATATTCTAGTATTCTTCTATCACATGGAACGGCAAAAAAAAAAAAAAGAAAAAAAAAAAAAAAAATAAAAAAAAAAAAAAAAAACGCAATTTGATCATAACTTGAAAATACTAATACTAAGGGAAAATCATAAAAACGTCAAAACAATACATGGGTTTAAACTGTTGATCAAATCGAACATTTTTTTCATAATGATATTGCTCCTACTTTCTTTTGATCAACAGTTTAAACCCATGTGGTGATATTGCTCCCATGTGGTGAAGTCTACATATTAGTGTAGGTGGTGCCCGATAGGGTTATAGGGTTATAGGGTTTGGACTTCCAGGGTGATGAAAAAGGAGGCGGCTAGCAAACTGGAAGGGGAGGACAACAAGCCAGTTGTTGCCCCTGGGCTGCATAAATAGAATGGACATAGAAAAAAGTAAACTTTTTGTTTTTTAGGCAGCGACATCAGGCCAACAATGAAGGGGAAGTCAGAGCGATGCGGGAAATGTATAGGAAGTATAAACATCACCTGGAGACCAAGGTAAAGCCGGAGCACCTCTTAGAAATCTAGGATATAACCATAGAGAGAGAAGGAAATGCCAATAGCTTCCCCGTTGCAAATCACAGAAAAAACTGAACCCTAAACACTAACAAAAGAGAGTATATTTCCTATTTAACTAGAAGTGGACCCTTCATTAAAAAAAGGCAGCACTCCCAAGATTAGAGGGTCGGCAATCCATCAATAACCCGAGATCGAACCGGTCCAAGTAAATAAGATGCCTCATGTCAGTGAAGCAAAGTGGTTTTGACATTACTGGAACTGATAGAGGAGGTAGAATTTTTTCGGACTATGCTCATCATCACTAACATTATCAGAATCAGAGAAAGAGGACGCCAAGATTCTCATCATCAGAGAAAAAAGATGATTAGTGGAAAAAAATGCCTGAGCAACGATTACGGGCAAAATTTTACGAGCTGACTTCAATAAGCTCCCGTTTCGCACAAATCCTCACAATCGCGTCTTCGGGAGCACTAGGTTACAGGCCTCACAATCGCACCTTCAAATGCCTCAATTGCGATCTTGATTCACATCTTCGAACAGTTCGATGGCGTCTTCGAACGCTTCGGGATAACCAGTTTAGGAGCATCCTCACATTGCCTCCTCTAGTGTGTGAACCCTAGCTCTACATTAACGAAGTTTCTGGAATCAGGAAACAATAAACTTTCCGTTTTTATTCCATAGGAAACATTACAAGATAAATAGGGGCCAAAAAAATCCCCATATTGAAAATAGGAAATAGAAATGCAACTTACCAACAACAAGAGATTCAAAAACCAAAAATAAGAAAGACTGTCAAGTTCTAATATTTCAACAAAGAACACCCAAGAATATTATGCTACAAGAAGCTTACATTTAGACCTAAAAATAAATTTTATAAAACTACAATTATGTCAGTGAATCTATATAGATTTGAGTGTTTGAAAATAATAATAATAATAAAAATAAAAATAATAATAATAATAATAATAATAATAATAATGATAATAATAATTGATAACTTAGTTGATCATGGCTGACATTAGAATGCTAAGATGATTGAGTGGCAAAATTAGGAATATAATATTAGAGGAACAATGGGATTCACATCTATCAAAAATACTGTAATTAAAAAAAACCTAAATTGATTTGGACATATGAAGGGTAGAAAATGCATCCACTAAATGGGTTAATAAAAAAAACGTCAGAGAATCAGGAAGGAGTAAACCTGTTATCATGGATAGAAGAATTTGAAAATGATTTGCCATGAAAAGGTTTAAACCCACAATTAGCACTCAATAAGATTAATTAGAAAATGAGAAAAATAGTTGGTATAAAACTAATGAGGATGATGATTTTATAATTTAAATCCATTTGTATACTTTGTAAACATTATTATAATAATGCATAAAGTTGATTCCAAACCAATTGAAAGTATCTACAAAACAAAAATCACAATTAACTTGTTGAGTAGTCTATATAATCCAATGAGAAAACATTCAGATAAAAAAAGGAACAAAAAAATGAAGTTTATAATTATTTAAAAAGAAAGGGCTTTTCCCTTAAAAGGAGGATGGTCATTCTACTGTTGACTAATTTTTTGCTAGTTTCTTTAAATAGCATTTGAAATCAGGATCACCGCATTAATTGTAATTAAAAACATAAGAATTAATTGTTAATCTAGTTTCATCAAAATTTTTAAAAAATACCATTCATCAAGCACATAGAAAAGAAAGTGACATATTAAGAGCCTAGCTAAAGTTCTAGTTTTACCCATGGATTTCAACAATCAAAACATCAGTTATAAGTTAGAACATCAACGATCAATGTATTTAGTTCCAAACGACTAGAATATCACGCTAAAACTAAAATTATCTTCTCTTACAATCCGAACCATTCATTGAGATAATTTTAATGAATTTGATTGCTTAATAAACGATAATAGTTGTTATTAAAATCATGCATGATACTATTTTTATTTTTTAAAAAATAGGAGGTTTAATCTCACACGTGAATGCTATAAAATTGAATTAAATGAGACAATGACCACTCTCCTCATATAAATTGAAGGAAAATGTCAATTACCTCCCATTTAAGGGCCCATTTGGGGCAGGGCACCTTTTTTGGTGCGGTGCGTTTTGAAAATGCCTGATGAAGCATTTGACCCCATGACCCACATTTCTTCGCGATTTTATTACCCTACTGCCATCCGTCCCGTGACCGCTCCCCTCCCTCTCGTTTCTTTTGCTCTAGGTAACAACTCTCTCTTGTGTCTCTCTCTTGCGCCTCTCTCTGGTGGAACCTCTCTCCTCTCCCTCTTCCCTTTGATCTCCAGCTTTGTCTGTTTACTATGCTATTTGTACTCCCACAGTATCATCTATTAATTTTCGATGGAATGACTTTCTCTTTACGATTTGTGGCTTTCTCATTTGAGGTTTGAAGTGAGAATTTGGAATTTGTGATTTGTGGATTTCTCTTTATGATTACGAATTCAGTGTTATGGACGTTGAAAGAGAGCCCAGTTTCGGGTGCTAAAATAACGCCCGGTTCCGGGGCAGAATAGCACCCGATTCAGACGCAGAATATTGCGGGGATCAACCTGCGTCCCTAGGAGAAATCCCGTGACGACAGGATGAGGCGTGAAGCCTCGCGTGACTGCGGAATGAATCCCACAAAGGCGAATGCACAAAGCAGAGCGGAATCCCGAGCTATTGCGATCCAGGATGATGTGTCTCGAGATTACCGCACCCCAAAAGTACTTTCCGAGTTCTTCTTGCCTTCCCCACTCCTATAAATTGTCGTCCCCTGTGTGTAGAGAGTCAACTTTGAGTGTCAATTTCTAATCTTTTGTGTGGAGCCTCTTTCCCCTTTGTGGGCTTTATCTGAGGAGTTAAAACTTAGGTTGTTTCTTCTCCGAGACGGTGATTGTTTCTTTTCGTTTTTTACCTTTTCCAAACCTTCTCCTTCCCTCTCCCTAGCTGCCAAACTCTCCCACCGTAACCCCTTCCTACTGGTTATTACTGCTGCCCCGCCTTCCTTACTCCAATTAAGCTCCTCCCATCCACTCCACAACCATTGCTGACCACCTAAAATCCTTCTCACTTGTTGTCCCTACGGTTCCACACCTTTCCCCTCACTTCCACCAGCATTTTGTCACTGTCACCACCCCCGCTAGCCATCCCAACCCACCTCGCCAATCTGCACCACCCATTATAATACATTTAGGAGTGTTTGCTTGTGTCGTTTTGTATTTGTGTCGTTATTTTCTGTTCGGGTCATGCTGTAACCTTATTTAATTATTAATGAAAGCTTACTTTTGTGTTTTCACTATTTCCCCTATAGTTCCGGTATTATTTGGATTTTGCAATTTTTTTGGGTAAATTACAGATAGGGCACCCAAAACCAATGCAGTTACACTTGCCATGATCAAACCATTGTGAATGTGATAAAAAAGAAAAATATGGAATGGGGTTTTATCTTTATCTTTGATGTTTGAGTGAGAATTTGAGAAATGACTGAAAGAGGGTGCTTTCTTGGTTGATGACAATGTTTCAGGTGCCCTGTATGTAATTGACTCATATAAAAAAAATATGGGATGAGGTTTTATCTTTACCTTTGATATTTGCGTGAGAATTTGAAAAAAGGCTGAAAGAATGTGCTTGATTTGTTGATAGCAATGTTTCGGGTGCCCTGTATATAATTGCTTCAAATAAAAAATATGGCATAGGGTTTTATCATTTCCTTCAATGTTTGAGTGAGAATTTGAAAAATGGATGAAAGAGTGTGCTTGATTTGTAGATAACAATGTTTCGGTGCCCTGCATGTAATTGCGTCAAATGAAAAATATGGGATGGGATTTTTTCCTTACCTTTGATTTTTGAGTGAAAATTAAAAAAATGGCTGAAAGAGGGTGCTTGATTTGTTGATAGTAATGTTTTGGGTGTTTTGTATGCAATTGCTTCAAACGAAAAATATAATATGGGGTTTTATCATTATCTTCGAAGTTTAAGTGAGAATTTGAAAAATGGATGAAAGACCATGCATGATTTGTAGATAGCAATGTTTTGGTAAATTACATACATAGCACCAAAAACTAATGAATTTACGCTTTCCACAATCGAATCATTGTGAATTTGTTAAAAATGAAAAATATGGGATGAAGATTTATATTTACTTTTGATGTTTGAGTGAGAATTTGAAAATTGGCTAAAAGAAAGTGCTTGAATTGCTGATAGCAATGTTTCAAGTGGAGTGTTGTTGATGTCATTACTATTTCTATTTAGTTATGTTGAATATTATTTATGGCAAATATTTATATTGATTAGTTATTTTCATGCTACCAATATAATGGTTAAGACAAAATGAGCCGATTCATCTGTTATGTGGGATAAAAATACAAAAAATAATATTTTGCGACATTTGCCTTAAAGAGATCAAATTGAAAAATAGACCAAGAATATATTTCAATAAAGATGATTGACAAAATATTATTAAAAAGTTTAAGGAAAGTACAAACAAAGAGTATGATAGAATGCAATTAAAAAAGAAAACGGATTAACTTAAAAAAAATTGAAAAATCTGAAAAGAAATGAAGCGATGATCCACGGGCTTGGGTTGAGATCCAATAAAGCGAACAATTGATGTTTCGGAGGGATGGGGGACAGAGAGATTGGAGGTGAGCATTTATGAAACGTCCACCGCTTTTATCAAATTTTCAATATTTTCAGATGCATCAACATATCTGATGACTTTGTAGGTGGTGTCAACTGTGAAGAAATTTAATTACAGTGGCATCAATCCTAAGCTGGAGGAGAAGTTAAATCGTATGTTTGGTGGTGTTGTAACAACGAACAATAATACATGAACCCTTAGTGAAGCAGGGTTTGGTGGCATCGCTGAAAACTTAGATGTTGAACAAACAGTTGATTCCAATGAAGTTGAATCCATAGGGTTGAGAAAAAGAAAAAAAAAAGGGTGCAACTTTCATTAGAAGTCAGATTTCACAGTTGGTGGTTTCATGCACCAATGACTCTAACCCATCACAAGCAACGTCCATTCAACGGGTTATTTGAATTAGGGAGGCAACTCGAAAAATTTATGACATGTATTTGTTCTCTATGAAGTTTCTTGAAGACCCGACCCGCAGAGAGTTTTTCATGACAATGGCTCCAAATTATAGGTTGCATTATTTACGTTATTTTCATGTGAACAGTGACACTTGAGGAACCTTTTAATTTCATTTTATTCTAGTTTGACATTTTATATTTTCTTTCGATGAACGGTTGTCCATGCTGCTTTGGATTTTTATGATTTTAGTGAGACACGGTTAATGCTTATTTGAGTTTTTATTTTTCATCATTATATTTTGTATTTTTTTCTCCAATTTTATTTGCACATGGTGTTTCATGATATTATTAAATGATAGTAGCTAAATCAACAGTCCTTATGTGTTAGCTATATGGATGCAAATAAGCTTCAACTACCCCAAACATGCCCTAAATCATTACAATATTTTCATCATAACTAAGATAAAAAATGCGCTCTTCCACATACAAACAACCATACTCATTTCTTACACATTTGATGAATGGCTAAATCCTTATAAACATTTATGAAATTCAATTAAATAGCCAGCAAGGCCTGATTAAGAGAACATTAGGTGTAAAGAAACATTTGGAAGAAAAACCATCCCCTCATAAGAGGATAAAGATCAATCTAACACACTTTTATAAAGATAAATTTTCATGTGAGCGATGTTTAAAAATTACCAGCGCTTGTGAAGTATGATCACTAAAATATACGGAAAATCAATAAAAAAAGAAATTTTTTTTTTCATATTTCATATATATTGCCTACTTAGATTTAAAAATCAAAATGTAAATGTGAAGATTAATGCAAAATCTATAGTTCTGACATTGATTATCTTAAAAACTCTTCTCTTTATATTTAGAAGTTCGTAATCATAACCTCTGACCAGCCATTCTATATTTTAAATTAAAAAAAATCGTCAAAATTATAGCAAATGTTTTGAAACCTATGATTTGTTAAATGGTAACTAATGCTTTGTTCTTTTCCAAAATGGTTGAGAATTTATGAATTATAAACATAATTAATTCAACTATATAACTATATTTTTTGACAAATGGCTTCATATGCCATGTAAAAGGTTATTCAATATAACACTAAAAGCTGCATCAAAAATTTCAGCTAGGCTTCATACTAAGCTAAAATACCAGCATGGATGGCTAAAGAATTAAATACAACAACCAAATAATAATAAATAAATAAATAAAGCCAATCTTACCTCATCTGCACTATGAAACTCTGATAAGCTGACCCTTCGTTCTCGCAAAACAATTTTCTTTTTTAACAAAAGATCAATAACCTACAGAATTAAAAAAGAAATATATCAGATACGCACAAATATCCTGTTAAACTAAAGTACAAAGTACAGCATCCACGCTACAAGTCAGGCCATTTAGAAATGCAATGTTTACTGCCTTTCCACCTTACTGCCCGTTAAAAAAGGGGTTCCCAACCGTAGACTAAGCAGGCATAATCAGGGAAGATGATGGCGAGAATTGCATTTTAGAGTAAATGCAATAAAACAAATATCTGTTCATATCAACAGATTTCTTTATAAATCGTTGCAGTCATTGAATCACCTCTAATTGAAACATTTAATTCGCCAAGGTTCAATTATTAAAGCTCAACAAAAATAATTTTTAGTGCCAAAACTTCCTGAACCCATGGAAAAAGGTTTTTCCTTAGCTTTGTAAAAAAAAAATCAAGGCCTAGGCTGAACAATTAAATTTATTGGCAAGCAATACTAGCAGCCAATTTGGCTATATGTAGGATTGCAAAGTTCCCTGCCTGAACTACGCCTCCCACCACCTCTAAATAGCACCACTAGACACCTACTTCAGCAATACGAAATCCTTTTTCTTAAGAAAAAAAAGTCATCTATATCAAAATTTACTGATTATTTAAATTTCCATAATCAAACTGGTGTGGGGTGTCCTCGCCCCAGCCACACAGCACCTGCCACAAACGCCTAGGACCTGTCATTCCAAGCATGGGATTCCCTCCTACTTGGAGCGAGGCCAGCTCCTCTTCACCCTAAGTCTATATATATGTTCTTTGTCATGTTTTAGGGCAGTTCCTGCTTTCAGATTTTGGTCAGGGCAACCATCAGCCTTCCTTTTCCGCTCCTAGAGCTGTATCCTACGGCGAGAAGTTACTATGGCTGTAACTCATCCCGCAGTGGTGTGTGACCTTCCCTCCTTTGCTTACTGCGCCCCTTTCTACCTTCCTACCTACTTTCCAGTGCCACCAACCGCCCATCTACCTGCTTCCCTTGCCACTGAACCTCCCCATCCGATATTTCCATGCGGCCGAACTATCCAACCTGCTGTTTACCTGCCGCCAAACCATCCTAGCATTCTGTTTCCCTGCAGCCAGCCCTCCAACTTGCTATTCCCCTTGCCGCCAGCCCCCATACCTGCTTTCCTGCCAGCCATCCATCGCTTATACGAAATTGAGGAGTATAGGAGTTCAAATAGGAAGGCTTTGCGGCTCTGATCATGTGAACGAAGGGAAAGCAAAAGCAGAGGGAAGAACAATCTGCCTGGCCTTTGATTTGAGCAGGAAGGAGCGAGGATTTGTGGTGTTGTACGTGCGGGAGGGAGGCGAGACCGTGTGACTTGGGCGAAGAGGAATCAGGCTACACGGGGAGGAGAAATTGGGAAAAGCTTCGAGTGCAGCTGCATCGGAAGAGGAAAAAAGATGAGAATTTAGGAGAACTTTGTTCGCTGCAATCCGTCGTTGCTCTTCCAAAAATTTTATCGCATGTATTTCGGTCACAAGGGGAAAAGATGATAGGGATGGGGTTGATGTCGTGCGGAATAGAGAAGGAAGGAACAATGCAGTGAAATTGTAGGGTGATCGTCCCTTACTGTGAGAATTTTGTAAGTCTTTGCATGTTGCATTCCCGTTGTTTTTAGCTTCGTGTGTGGCTGGGTGAATAGGGAAGGTTTCAGTAAGCTGTTGTATGAATAGAGAAAGATGGGAATGTCAGACATTTTTGTGCACTGTGATCATGTCGCAGCTCTTCTTTAGCTTCTACATCACACTAACATGGGGAGAGGTTGCGGAAGGGATCGTGAGAAGGCTGCGATCGAGAGAAAAGAGCGGGGCTTTGATTGCAGTATGTAGTACAAGAAGAAGGATTTCCAATTTCAAAAAAGAATGGGGAGTTTCGGGTTTCTCTCGATGAAAACGAGAGCGAGTGCGCGAAAGGATTTCTAAACCGCATGAGGATGGTGGGAGTAGTTATATATTTAAATTCATTTTTTTCTTCTCTTTTTAATACTTTGACGGTCAACAGTGGCATGGTGAATCTCCTCAACTAGGGTTCAACTAAAGTAAAAGTGGGGATTTTAGGCTGAGCCAAGATGAGAGAAGGTGGATATTTGGGTGAAGGTTGAGTATTTGTGTAGCTGGATGAATTAGGTTATGAGGGTTAGGGCTAGTATTTTTGAAAAAATAAATCTAGGGATTTAAGTGGCACTCTAATACCAAATGACACTTATCTAGAGTTTCTAGATTGGATTTAGAAATAATTAAAAGTTGCAGAATGAAAGCAAACCAAATAGTCAAATTTGAAAAAATAAAAGATATTGGGGAAAATAATATGGCGGCAACTGCTATTTGGGGAAGAAAAATAACAAAGAAATAATCTTGGTAGGTAGGTATGGCATGTACGATGTTGAGAAAGGCCTGCCACACATTCTTGATCAAGTTATGATCACACCACCTAAAAGAGAACTGGATGCAGCACTCCTAGATGAGGAAAAATTAGAGGAGATAACCTCCACTATATAACCAATACATAATACATAAAGCCAAAAAAAAAAAAAAAGTCCAATACAATAACTATGGCAGCGATTTATAATAAATCAACATAAAATAATCCTATTTCTAAATCAAATGAATGACTAAAGAAACAAAGGGGAGCCAGTCCCACATGTGTGGGAAATTGGAATCAGGTCCAATTCGGTCCTCCCATTCATTTAGGGGTAGATGTCGCTCCCCCTTTCCACCTGGGAAAGAAACCACACCCCCATGTCAGGAATCTTATTCAAAGAAATAAAAGGCTCATTTTAGAAGCATAAATTGATAATTATTGGGCAATACGTCTTATGAATAAAAGGTCTACGACTAGTTGTGCTTTCCTAGTTGAGAATCTGATTAATTTGAGATATAAAAAGCAGCTAATCACCAAATCTACCATCAAATCTAAATTCCATAAAATGGACAAATGGGTTTGCAAATTATTATGGATGAAATTTATCCTGCATGACATAGAAATAAAATGAGAAAATGCTCTGAATTAATATTATGGCAACAAATCAACCATTAATATAAAAAAAATTCAATCAAATATAACAACATCAAACATATAGAAATAAATTCAAATTTTATCAAATTAAAATTAGAAAGTGAACTAATATGTATCTCATATGTTAAAAAAACAAGCAGTTGTCTGACATCCTAACCAAAAGACTATAGAGCTCCACATTCCCGAAGAACACCTCAAAATTAGGAATTAAAAAAACTTATCCTACAATCTGAAAAATAATGAAGGTATTAATTTCCAATTTGAAAACCATGGGATTGCAAATAAATGTGCAGAGGTTGTACATTATCATTTTTCATTTCCAATGTGATTAGTAGTTTGCAAATATAAAAATTGCCAATTGTAATCTACTGTATAAATAAGAGGAAATGATCACAAATAAAATACATATAGAATTCTAATTGTTTCTTCTCTATTCAAAATTTCTGTCAGCAAATTATACTGGGGACATTGGAAGGAATCAGTCTTTATAAAGAACTCAAACTTCCAGTGTGTTGTGCCCTACTAATTTTTGTTCTCAAAAGAGCATAAGAAAAAAAAAATAATAATAATAAATATATATATATATATGTATATAT